ACAAAACGCATCTCCCGTTTCTCCAGGATTATATTATTATAATAGAGCCGTGGGCAAGGTAAGACTCACATATTATTATTATACGTCACCTATATAATATGATTTACTGCAAGTTTCCCGGAGTAACATATTATAGGTAATAGTTATTGATATTACGCTTTCACGACCGTTATTTCCGTTATTTAGAATTTATGAACATTATACATTTCCACAAAATGTTTGTAGGGTACTTATACCATTGTCGATTCGGTTGATTCTATGAAAACTTTAGTCTTTGCTGATATAAAGAGAATTGTACCAACCATAAAATATGGTTATGTGAAAGGAGCATAATTGAGACCGGCTTCACCTCATCCGTCATCGAGTGCAAAACGCACCACCTATAAGGGGCTGAATGATCTTTTGTAAACCATTCAACTTCGCATATTTTAATAAATTCATATTAGCTGAAATACGGAAAAATATATCGATACATAGCTTTAGGAGTAGCTTCTTGTGGGCTCTGGGGTAGCAGTAATTGCACATTCTGCGTTGAAATTATAATAAAATAAATAATAGACTGATAATACATATACCTACATATCTGCAAATATATATTTTCTATAACCTGCATCATTAAATTACATAAAAAACACTTATGTTATTATATGAGATTTACGTAAAATGCTTACCTAAACCTTACCTTACCTAACATTAAAATATGTTTTGAATATTATAAATATTATAATATATTAGTTAAAAATGAAATTTAAAAGTTTTGCAGCGAGATTCAGTGGCGTGTTTACGTTGAGAGGGGGGGGGGTACAAAGGGTCCCACATTGATATCCAATCCAATCATGTTAAATTATGTAATTTTAAATGATAAAAAAAATTATATACAGGGTGATTCATTAAGCGTACAACACTCATTATTTCAAAAACATTAATTAATACTTTTTGAGATAATGAGTGTTGTACGCTTAATGAATCACCTTGTTTATATCTACGAATCATATAATGATAATAATACAATGTTTTATACATGGTTTTACCAGTTAGTAACTTATAAACATGATAGTTGCATATTATGTATTACTTACTAATAATAAAATTAAGAAAAGGAAAATGTGCTGCAGTGGTGGTAAAATTCTATATTGGCAGTGCCTATAGGTAAATAATTCATCCGGCTACACTTTCCCGCTGTCACCACAGTAATTATACTATATTATTAACAATTATAAGTATTAATGATGTTAACATTTTCCATACTTTTATAATACATTTTCATTCATAACTTTATAAATATCAAAACTCCAAATAATTATTAATCATTTAATAAATATTAAATTATAGTAATTATTTTTATTACCGATATTTTGTTGTAATTCGTACGAGTAGTTTTTAAGTTATTTAACTTTGTGTTCTAAGGATAAAGGTCCAAGGTAATGGGTTCATAAGATAATGGGGATTTGAAAATTGTAGTCCTTAATATTAATCTACCAATATTAATAATTTGTAAAAATGGCCCAAGTATAATAAATACTAGATACCATTTTATGTTTATGTTATATTTATGTAAACCCAATTTTAAGAACAATAATTATCCTTAATACAAACATTTTGATAACTGAAAAAATTACTCCTTCAAATTTTGAATATCAACATTATAATATCAAAATTATGGTAGGTATATAAACATTTTCAAAAAAATTATCCACTAAGTGTTTTACAGTAAAAACTGGGGTTCTCAATTGAAAAACAGAAGTTTGTATCGCCACAGGACATTCCTTAAATAGTAAAAAAATATGTATTAATTTGAAAATATGGTCTTTGAGTATATTTATAAATTCCAAAAATCAGAATTTGAATAAATTCATTATTAAAAAATAAAATGGGAGGTGGTCATGCTTGGTGAAACACCCTATAGATTAATATATTAAAAAGTTTCCACCTTCCTAGACAGATTTTTAGAATACTAGAATCTAAGTTAAAGCTGGGTAAAATTTTCACTTGACGCGCTGCATGATGGTTTTCAGAATAATATCTAAATATGAAGTGTTATAGTGGTCTGTGGATTATCATTGATTCGGCCTTCGTTTATTGTATCCATACTTAGGTTTGTAAAATTCAAGTTCAACCTCGGTGTCCGGTGAATTAGTCGCGTAGTGCAGTCGATTTATAGCTGGTATACGACTAGCATATAAAATGCAATTGAATTAAAATTCATGATTTAAGAGTGTTTAAAAAAAACCTGTATGGATGTAAAGTAGTTTAATAATTCTATCCTTGGTACAGAACGTTTAAAAAAAAGGCAAACCGGTAGTAATCGTATAGCAACGTTTATCGTTACCACGAAATCCAAAAACTACAATAATTACTTCAACTGCATACAAGTTCAATACAATAGAAAAATTAATTTCTTTACCTACTCCACCTAAGTACTTTCATAATACCGTAGATATTTAAAAGTCTGTAACTCTACGGTTTTATTTTCTCTACTTTTATCTTCAAGTAGGTACGTAATTCATTATTTTATTCGTAATATTTTTTATTTTACCCATTTAATATACCTATGCTTAAATATTATTTTGGTAATTAAACCTTTAAAATCACAATTATTGACTATTATCAACTGCACTCATTTTGATTAAACATATGATAAATTATGTTACGCGAAGAAAACACGAATTATATAATAGTATAGTTAGGTTATAGGTAATAATAAAAAATAATAACCTAGTCTATGTAAGTTATAATTTTGAATGAAATACCTACAATAATAATATTGTGATGTCGTTATGATGTTATCGTTCACATTTTTCTTAAAATATCTAATATTTTTATATGGGGTCGATGCCAGATAACGTGATAAACATAAGAGATGTTGTCGATTTTGTTTTATATGATAGATAATATGTAATCACGTTTTCAGATATAATTTCAGTAAACAATATTGAATCATAATACTATAATAGGTACTTAATATAATATTGACTTATTAAAATGTATAATTATTTAATATAAACATGATAATAATTAATAGATATTTTTTTTTGAATGCTCACAACTTTTTTATGCTGTATAAATTAATGGTTAAAATGTGATTTGTAAAATACGTTTATACATGAATGTTTATTCTAGTTTATACAAGAATAGTGAGAAACCTGAAACATTGTACATTTCGGACTAGCGTAACACTAGTCTAGTGACTTGTGAGTTGCTAGTTGTGAACTTGAGTCTATTAAATAGTACCTAATTAATATGTTAATAATATATATTAATAAAATGATAATATTATATTGGTATTTATAATCAATTTTTGTAGATAGCATGGTAGATATAGTTGTACCATGTTGTACAAAACAAGAATCGTAGTGTGCTGTCGAGTGTCTAGTGTACAGCGATAAGGTGTTTAGTGTTTACCCGGAAATGTTATCATTAACCACAGTACACACGCGAAGCACCTAGCAAAACACGACTAAGAAAACCTTATACCATCAGTCAACGGCTATTTAAACAAATCGTATGAAAGTTAATCGCAGGAATTTTGTTAAGTAATAAATGTTTTTGAGTACCTACTTAATAATACCTAATAATACCATAATAATACCACAATCACATAGAACGCTGAACACGAGTAGAAAATACTTCACTTGCCACTGCTTAAGTCTTCTGCTGCTGACTGCTGTGGACCAGGGTGAAAGAGCCCTGCGGGGGATGGGGAATCGTACGCACATAGGCGAAAATAGGGGGGCTGGGGGCTTAGGTCTCCCTTAGAATTTCTATAGCCTCACAAAAACTAATGATTTCATTACTATAATTTAAAGCATCATAAGAATTAAGAGTATCAAGTATATAAACCTGAGCTACAACCCCCCCCCCCCAAAAAAAAAAAAACACTATTTACGTCACTACGTACGCAGAACGAAGAATGGCATTTGTATGTCTTAAGATGGCTCTAAAGTCTAAGTATCTAATAATCAGTGGATTTTATGTGAGCCTCACAAGTCACGGTGAACAGATAAAAAAAAGCTTGTTGATTGTCAATTTTGTGGTAACTTATTATATTGAGTATTGACACACCGTCATAAGTAAATACGTTAATAAAGTTGTGATGTATTTTTTAAAACAATAAGTTCCAGAGATTTTAGCAGCGATTCACCTACTAAATATTAAGTATTAACCGATCATTTGATGTCATATTATTTTGTTTATTTATAGGTTAATACCATGGATATTGGTAATACGCAAAAACTAGATAGCTGTCTTTATACTACAGTCGTGACCAATGTTAAAGTCGGCCGCCATTTATAAAGCAGGCAATGTTTACATTTGTTTTACATTTATTCATACACTGTTATAATATTATTTAGTAAACATTGCCTGCTTTGTAAATGGCAGCTGACTTCGATGATAAGAAAGATACGGTTATCTAGTTGTTGTATACTTGTATATATCTATATGGTTAATACTTAAATACTTATCGTTCGTTTGTTTTTCTAGTTTTAGGTTAGTTGTTCACATTTATAGATATAATATGTGATTATATTATAAGAACGGTTTCCAGTTCCAAACAATTATGCTATACAAAACCTTATAAATTCCGCAAGGTACCTACAATTTAATCAAGTAAATCAATTCTGTACCACTTTCCACTTCTACCGTCAGATGGACATGAGGTGTCGTGAAAAGGATAATTATTCTTAGGTACTGGAATATACAATGCTAATTAGTATTTTTTTATTTTATTTTTATGTTGTTTGATATTTTTCAAACCAATATTTATATAATATAAACAAAAATGCACATTAATTACTTATATAAATTGAGATTATAAAATTATGAGTGGGTATAATATTATGTTATATAATTTTAATGTTGCACAATAATTATTTGTAATGGGGAAAATGTACAAAACGCAACGGGTGATCGAAGTCTCGATATTGTGTGTACGTGTGTTGGGAGGTAGATGTCTTGGGAGGTTTTGTGGGGAAGGGGAGGGAAATATTGACCTAGATGGGTCAAAGCTCGGTGACGTGTAACCCAGGTGGCGGCGGCAGTAGCCAGTAGACGCCACTGTAGACTCCACCGGTGGCAGGCGGAGCGGCGGCGGCGGCCACCACGTCCGTCACGTCGGCCTCGTCCGTCTGCGTGCAACTGTGCCGCTTGCTCCGGCGCGGTTCTGGCGGTGGCTTGGGCAACATGACCGCCTCGTCGTACGAAGGCAGCTGCGACATCTTGCGAGCCGATTCCGCCGCGGCCGCGTACTCGTCGAAGTACTCGTCGGGGCCGGCCGTTCCCGCGCCACCGCCGGACCGGTCGGGGTTGCCGTACTCGTCCAACTGCCGCCGCCGGCGCATCATCTGCCGGGTTTTCATGTTCTCGTGGACGGCCACGAATATGGCCATCAGCCCGGACACGCACAGTATGAGTATGACGCCGATGGCCATCGAGAAGTTCTTCCGGTTGTCTCGGGCGTACGCGGGGCTGTTGCCGCACGCCACGTGCCACAGCATTCCGGTAACGTTGTCAGGGCTCAGACAGCTGGGCGCCCTGAAAAACCGAGCAAAACTATCAAAATGATATTTCATGTGACATCATGGTTCGGTCCTATCTTGTTTCCGTGAGGGGTTAAGGCGCCTCACAGCTCCCCGTGAAACGTGATATATTCTAGAACTGTGATTGGTTGAACCATGTGGTTATCTAATGGTTAACCATCATTTTTTTTTCTTAATACCTTATCTATACCGCTTATACCGTATAGTTGAGTTCAATCCTACTCAGAGCGTGTGTTTACCGTATGGTTGACAGTCGTGGTTAAGAATATTTTGACGGGAACAAATTATATATTATCACGTTTCACGTTTCACGGTGAGCTGTGAAGGCGCCTTTAAGCTGGATTCACGGCTACGTCGTGTGTCGTGTCGTGCGAGGGCCCGGGAACTATAGGGTTACGACTGGTAACCATATTGGTTTTAAAGTTGAGCTGTAGTTAATTCTTAGTATACTCGGTTGAAACTTGATTATTACATAATACCAAAAAAGTGACGTCCAATCACAATGCGATTTGATCGATACGACACGACACATACAAGTATACAACGTAGCTGCGAATGCTCCTTTATGCCGTTTATGGTGTAGTATTTGTTGCTCGTGAATACCAGGGTATCTGTAGCTCCCTGACCTAAAGCGGGGCCTGAAATAGTGGTGGTTGGTAGTCCAGCAATGGACCACAGATCCACATGATCCAGTGCTTACCGAACATGGTGGATGTTTCAGATGCTATAACTAAACTGCATGGACGAATTTGCTTGATATACCTACAACCAGTACCCCTGTCATCATACTCTTTTCCATTGTCCTTATGTTGAGAGCACGAAGAGCGGGTTTAGTCATCTATAAGCATGCAGGAAGGAGAGCTAATCATCGGGCACGGAAAATCCAGCGACTCTGGCAAAATGTTCACTTTCGGATGCCTAATGATTTACTGCACTATAGAAGCCAGACTAGCGGGTGTCCCACATAGAATTTTTTAAAACCTCTTGGTATTTACAAGACATATACCTATATATAAGAGATACAATAATATGCCTATAAAAATGCTTAACTTTGAGGATTAATAGTTTTCACAATATTTTCCAGATTATCAGCTAATATAAATCATAGCCTAACCCATGGTTCGCGACTTAATATTTTTTCTAATATAATGTAAGAGGTATTTTTCCTTCATTTGCTCTTCATATTATTTTTCATTCTATTGTGCTACTCACGGCTCTCTTATCAGTTACCCCACGTTATAAATCTACCATCTTTATCTTAAATGATTTCAAATTTTCACTTGCTGATATCATTCATATAATCATATCAGATATATATTTTATTTATTTATTTGTTTTGATTCTATTTTAAACTCCTCCTATTTTACAGCATTAATAAATATTAGTTTCGTTGTCCATTAAATTTTGTAAATAAACTTCTAATTCGGGGTATTTTCCTCATCCTATATTACAAATGAATAAATAAAAAAGGTGAACAAGTGTTTACATCTATGCTGTACTGTAGTAAGTTGTCGAGTATGTCTACAAATGGATGTGTTATAGATTTGAATCAATGATAAATCATTGCATACGAAAAACTATTCTAGCATACATTTAGGTATAGATAAATAATTAAATTGAATAATTAAAAACCTCTGAATATCATATATCGTAAAAAATTTAAAATCAAACTTTATTAAAAATAATTGATACATGGCCGGTGAACTTTTTTTGTTGATAAAGCTGGAAAAACTTGTTGTGAATATTCTATTCAAATTTTTAATGTTAGCAATAAAATAATTTTGTATTGATTTCTAATTGAAAAATATTTTGCAAATTTTTTGGGATTTGGATGAATTTTGTCAATTTTTTAACTTTAAATGCATTTAAGAATAATCGTCTTTATGTCTTTACATATAATATTTAGCAAATTATGGGGACAATTGAATTAAATTGTCAAGCTTTTTTACTCAGTGAAAAAGTTTTTATCGACTTTAATTTAAAAAAAAAATGTCTTAAGGCTTTAAATACAATTCAAGTGTTTACGGTTATTAGTTTATGTGTTGAATCAAATAAATAAAATCTATTTTTTTTTTTAATTAGGTTATGAAGAAAACTTCCTGTTATTCCTTTTTTTGTTTTTCCTACTCTTTTAAAAACTACTGAACATTTTAAATTTTGGCCTCCCGAATGCACTAACTAGATTGACTTTTCTATCAAAATGATGCTGATGTCGAAAATCGGAGCAACCCAAATGGTAATGACAGAAAAAAAAACAGACACATCATTGTCGCTACGCTCATAATTTAAATTACATTGAATTATTCAAACTGTTATTAAATTATGAAAATTAATATTTATTTTTAAAATAATATGAATGAAGTTCAAATTATTTTCAATGATTGAACATTCAATATTTATACATTAATTATCATGCTAAATTTAAGCTTTAAACATGCAATTATATTAGTTTATGTTTAGAAAATACGAGTTTTTGAGATATTTGTTATTGTTGGAAAAATATTATTTAAAAAAATAATATTTAGTGTATGATTGGTACAGTGATTAGTATTGGCTATTGCATAATATCTTATAACTTTTAAGTATTTTGGTATATTTGAATAAAACATTTACTGTATTTCACAGTAATATATTGCTTTGATTAATTTTGTTAGCTTGAGTAGTTCAAAGACATTCTATTCAGGATGCTATGCATTTACCCGCAAAAGTACGTTACAGAGTAATGGTCGTGACAATTTTCAGTTGAATGGAATTTGATAGATACAAAGTACTGTGTTGGATAAGAAAACTAAGAAAGCAGAAACTGAAAGTGATATAAATATATAATGCTTCAACCAAAGACGATCGGCGGCCAATAACTAGATTTGATTGGTGTCAAATCGATATTGCTAGAGATAAAATACCCAGCTTATAAAAAACTTTTTCCAAAGAAAATAACTATGATTTGGGACTTTTGAAATTCTTTATCTTTATAATAAAACTTATGAGTAATAATAATAAACAGCTAAACAGGTATAGGTACCTACTATTATAATATAATCATCATTATTATTATTTTATTGTAATAAATGTCATTGGAAATTTGAGTGTTTAGACATTTGTATAATGAATAACTTATTATATTTCAGCTAGTTTTATAAAAGGATTATCGACATTTTATGATTTAGAGAATCTTGTAGATATAAGAATGGTAAAGTATTAATTTTTCTTACTAAAAAATTATATATTTAACAAAAAAATTAATTAAATATTACCTCAGTTGTTTAAATATACTATAATATCTACTTATAACGCTAATTTGTATGTCCACGTATTATTTAATTAAATATGGATTTTTTTAGGATTAAAACCTAGTTGGTATTAAACAATTAGTTACTAGTTTGTATATGGAATGGTATGCTGTGTCATAAAGTTACCTATTTTTGGACCACTTACATCTTTAATCTGGTAATAAAGCTGTCATGCATAATATTATAATCATTATTTTATTATTTTATTGTGAATATATATTATTTTAGTGGACATTGAATTTTCCTGCTTGTAAATATTATGCTTATAAGTATTCATTATATGATAAAGATATAGAATGAATAGAAATATAAACTTTTAGTTTATTTTACATAATATAATAACATGATGGTTTATACTATATATTAAAGTGAATGCGAATAGGCAACCAAACTTGCAAGAATTGTTCATAACGAATGATAATAATATTATATGTACATAAAATGTTAAGTAAGTAACGAACAATACCATTGTTTTAGTTGATTATTGTATTGTATTGTATTTTTTTTTTTTTGAGGTGAATTAAATATAAATCATGAAGCATTCATGTGATTACTTCTTGTTTCAAACCCGTTATCAACTAGGTTTGTGTTAAATACTTAAAACCTCAGATATAGATAATAATCGAGATTGCTAACTAATGATATTAGCCGTCGCCCAAAAAAATGTCATGTGGGCTATGTATAGTGTTATTACCTGATAAACAGAATTTATCATTGTATTATATCTATATTTATTTAAGTAACATATTCATGTTGAAACATCATATTTATAATATACATAATTTATACATAATTAATAATTATTATTTTTACTCTTATTTAAATTTATCAAAACACTTTATATGACTGTCATATTTATACACAGTTTGTAAATGGAGTTTTTCTCCTTATCAAGTAATAATAAATAAATATATCTGTGTATTATTATCAAGATAAAAATTGATAAAATACCATAGCCCACACACATGACAACCTATATGTTGAAAAGTGGCGTTATCCGGCCCGTTTGTTAGTAGTGTATAGTAGTTAGCAATCAAGTCTATATATGTGCTTAAACTAATCTGGTGTTATGCTGGGGTATAAAATCTATTATTTATTATTGTTAGTTTATTCGTCTACTTTTAACTGTTCATTTTTTTCAGCTATTTCAGCAGACAAATTATTATGCATTTCTCACCATAAAAGTATTAAATCATTTTATTATATTTTTATATATAGCACCACTGCAGGTTAATTACTTGAAAACAACTCTTACCTTTCAATTGGAGAATGCTTGGTAGTTCTATTGGCCAGTACGGCCATGTAGGCGAAATCAGCACTGTAACAGTCACACGTCCACGGGTTGTCATCCAAGTAAACGTATTTCAGCTTAGTGCATTTATTGAACGTGCCATTTTTCAAAGTCACTAAACGGTTCCCGGTCAACCTTATTTCTGTAAGATTGGGCGAGTTGACAAACTCGTACGATATCAGGTGCGATATCCGACAATAGCTGAGATCCAAAAACCACATGTGTGATGAGTTGAAGCTACCTGGTAGTAACATTTGTAATGGGTTGTTGGATAATATGAGCTCGCCCAATTTCTCTAGTTGAACGAATGCACCGTTCGGAATCGAATGGATCCAACAGTGATCGAGGTTCAGTCGGCGGAGAGAGTTCGATTTCAGCCGTCCAATTTGAGAGACGAAGTTGTACGAAAGGTTCATCGATTCCAGTGACGGCAGTGTAGCCATAACGGATTCCCATGCGATTTCTATGATAAAATTTATAGACAAGTCCAAAAACATAAGCGACGACATGCCGTAAAATGCTAACGGGTCCACCTGAATCATAAAAGGAATACAAATTTTATTGTTACTACTCCATCATACTAGATGTACCTATAGGTACAACGTAATTGGATATGCTACTGTCATCATTATAAGCAGTTGTTTTCCAGTCGTTCGATTTTGATTTACAACGATTCCGGGGACCACCTTTCATAAATACATTTATTTGATACCTTGGTGAAAATGGTTACATTCTTTCATTAAGAGTTGATATTGTTCGAGTTGATTGATCCTATCGATCAAGGTGACATTTTAAATTTCAGACCATAAATAATAACTAGGTATACACATAATGTAGAAACGAATTTATTCTTACTTCATGAAACGAGACATTACTATTAATCAGTAATTCGAGCAATTTAAAAGTTATTCAAGTGGATATTTGTTCCAACAATAATTCACCTGACATGGCGTGTTTTTAAAAAGTAAAAATATTCGTGCATATTGTACCTAGGCTATATGAATTATTCATAATATAATTAAAATGTAGTTAAATTGCTCATACTTTTATTTATTTTTAAAGAGTTATTTTTATTGAGTTGTTTATAGAAATTGATTTTTCGAAAAAGTGAGTATTATAATATAATAACATACCTCCTAATATATTATTAATATAATTACATTTTATAAAAATAAATAAAATGTGGACAATTCTAATAATAGTATACTGTGTTACGTTTGTATTTAAAAATTCAATATTTAATGTTATTGTAACGAGAAGTGTACATTAAAAACGTTTTTCATATTTAATTTAAGTATCATATTTATTTTCAATTGAAAAACTGTTGACAAATGATACGTACAGTTTCGACGTGGTTTTCAGATATATCCAAATTGATCAGTTTTGTGCTATTTGCAAATTGATAAGCTGTAAGTCTTTTAATTCGGTTGCCGTTCATAAATACAGTTCTAAGATCAAGCATACCATGCAAATTCGGTATGCGCACTGAACACTGCGAAATGTCAAGCGTTGCGAGTGACGTGGATTGTATTGTATTGTCGATAAACAGCTGATCGTTTAGGCTGACGTCCAATAGTTCGAGATTTGTAAATCCACTCAGAGCATCATCGCTGAGATAGACGAGGATACAGCCACGTAAGTTTAACGTGGTTATTGAGTCCGACCACAGTCCATCCAATCGTTTTAATGGGTTATTGGACAAGTTTAAGTATTTCAGCTTTTTGAGTCCACTGAGCACAATTGGTCCAATCAATGAGACAATTTGACATTGACTAACGTCTAACACTTCTAGTGATTCACTGATCAATATAGTGTTATTGTCTTGACCAAGATCAAAGAAAGGATTGTTCGATAAATCTAGAAACTTGAGTTTCTTGTTATAGTTAAACAATTCACTTGGATTTATATCAGCGATGTCCTTAATGGAGTTATTGCTCAATATCAGATCTTCAAGATTCCATAAGTTTTCTAAAGCAATCTTATCGATATTTTGGATGTTGTTCATAGATAGATTGAGTTTCTTGCATTTAGTCATGTATGATACTTCGAGTGGAATAAAGTTCAATGACATGTTTGAAAAGTCTAAATTTACTAACTGAAACAAAAAAAAATTAAATTTGTTGTACTATATTAATATATAGTTTATTAATATATAATTTATTAATTATTATTTATTATAGAAACGCATTAAACGAGAATAAATAAAAGAGACTGAACAAAATAACATTTTCTAGGTATCACTTACAAAAGTATATTGTTGTGAAAGAAATATCAACGATAAGTTATTTTCAGAATATATTTTTAATGTCAGCATTATTTTAAGTAAGAAGATGAAGCTACATATTAACAAATATTGAAAAGTTCTTAATATATTGATATAGTTTTAAATTTTAATTACTGAAATAGGTAGCTGTTTAAAATATACAAACCACGACCAATACAATAATGTTTTAAGAAAATTATTAGTAGATATTTAGTAAAAGAAGGTTAGAGTGCTGAGTGATAAATGATAATATTACTGCATCGAAAATGAACGAAATATATTAAATACAATGATGGTATTAAGAGTTGTAATTCAATCTTTGTCTAAATATAATATAATATGATAATATACATATACCTATTACACATTTTGCATTTACATGTTTTCTTAGCAATACATTTTAGTAACCCGTCAAATTGATGTTTAAAATGGATAATAGCAATAGGTAATAATAATATTATTAGTATCTACCTAAATTTATAATTTGAGTATAAGAATCATAGGTATGCTCTTAATTCAAATTCCAAAATTAATATCAGTATGGAGCGTCCTAATAACGTGATATGAACATAAATTATAATTATTTAGTACTTTAAATACTTAAAAATTACAAAATTAATTTATTTACCTTGTCACATTAATTTATGACTTTACACCCACTAGACAAATACATAGGTAGGTATCTCATTTAAATTAAGAAATAAATACATTTAATCAGATTATTTTTAATTAATAAAATGTATGGTGATACATGGTATGGTTGTCTTAGGTTATGTTCAAAAGTTTGATTTACTGTTACATTAATTAAAAATATTTATGAATAATTTATTTATTTTTAAAAAGTCAAAATTATGTTGATCAGCTTTAAAAAATGTTTAAATGAGATTTGAAATGAACATGTTATATATTTATCAAGAAAATAGTTCATGCACTTATTAAAGTTCTCAATTATATTTTAATAGTATTATTAGTTACATTTTATAGGGTTCTGATAATGATATAGTTTAACTTATCAGTTATCAAGAATGAAAATGCGAAGCTATATGTTTCGACCTTGAGGTCAATCTTTGAGGAACAAATCTCCGACAATATTTTCCATTAATTAAATACTTATCTGATTCCTAGACATCTTAAGTCAAAAACAATATATTCAAAATAAAATGTATCCAAATTAAAAAAGTCGCTCTGCTATATAGTAGGTTACCAGTGGGTCACTGTATTGGATGGTGTTAAATTTGAATTCAATGATATTATAATATCATTGTATAAGAAAAACGATTCTGAGTGAAAACGGTCAGTCAGCCTATGATATTACGAAGTATATTTGATGATATTAAGGTGAATAAAGTAATTTATATTAACCTATTTAAGTGGAATATTGTTTTAAATTCTCAATCCTTAGCCATAAATGTAGAACATTTTATAAATTTTTAACTACAAAATTATTATTAAATTTTAAATGTGATAAATGTTGTCAAAATTTGAACTTTAAATGCTTATAAAAAAAATTGTGCTTATTTATTTTTAATATTTTTCAACTGCTATTGTGTCAATATATCAGGAGTTTTGCATTAAATTTTCACGCTTTTTTATCCAACAAATAAAAATTTATTGATGTTTATTTTTTGTAGAAAAAAAAACTAAAAATTTGAAAACTGACAATGTCCGTAAACAGCTCAGAAAGAGTCAAATTATTTTCAAAATTGTACGGTGTATAGAAAATTCTAATATAAACATTCAGTGAAATTTTCAAGTATCTACAGTCATTCGTTTTTTAAGTACAACAAAATAATAAATTTGTTACATGAGAAATCAAGTGAATATCAAATGTTGTAAAAATATGAATTTCAAACGCTCATAAAAATCGAATTTGAGTTTCTTGTAGACATTTTTTTTTTGATAAAGGTAGACAAACTTATGAGGAGTCTTGTATTACATTTTCAAATCTTAGATTTAAAAAAAAATGTTTTACGAATTTCTAACTTGAAATTATTTGCAAATTTTCGTCATTTTTACGTATTTTGTCAATATTTGAACTTTCAATGATTATAAAAAAAAAATTGTGACTATGGATTTTTAATTTTTTTCATCTGCCTTTGAAACAATATATTATTAGCCTTCTATTAAATTTTCAATCTTTTTTAACCAACAAATAAATTTTTTTTGGTATTTATAGAAAAAAAAAATAAAAAAAATGGAAACTGGAAATGTCCTTAAACAGCTCAAAATCAATCAAATTATTTGGAAAATGTTATGGTGTATAGAAAATGCTAATATAAACATTTAGTCAAAATGTCATGTACCTACAGTGATTTGTTTAAGAGTTGCACCAAAAACCAAAATCATTTTTTCGAAAACATATTTTGCGTACAAAACTTTGATTAATTTTTCTTTTGTTTTTCACTGCGCTTTTGAAAACTTTTGGAAAATTTTTACTTTTGACCCTCCAAAGTGCCAACTAGATTCACATTCCTTTCAGAAAAGATACTGTTGAAGAAAATCTAAGCACTTTTACTGTCCTAAAAGGTGATAACAGACAAAAAAAAAATACAAAAAAACACTCATTATTGTAAAATCAATACATTCATCGTTTCACTCAGAATCTAAAATAATGAATGATGTCAAAAATTTCTTAAATTTTATACAGGTAAAATGCTTTATTTCACTGTACTGATAAATCTAGAATAATTGTTGAAATATTGTCGAAAAGAACAAATTCAAATATACATGACAACGTTTGTAGATTAATTAATTAAGTTGAGATTAGTGATTACTTGAGGATCCATATCATAGTTTAGGACATCTGTGATGTTGGCACCAGAACAGAGCATTTCGATGGAAGAACAAACAGCACATTGTTTGGGACATATTGCTTTGGGAGTAAGCAGATTATCGAGTAGTTCTGGGTTTGTTGTCTTCATCAAACAAAGCAGTATCATCGCCAACTCTATCTTAACTGAAAAACCAACCTGAAACGTAAAATATACACATTTAAAATTTTCTAAATATTATAATATTATAATTTATTATTCGATGTGTTATTAACCGTAACACTTTTTACGCAATTGTATCACTCCAACATCCAAAACAACGGGACCATTATTCCATCCGTGAAACCCGGTTTTGGACTTGGATTAAAGCCAGTAATGATATGTTACAACATTAATTAAAACAATTATATTTTTTCCGAAAAATATTTTTAAATGGCAGTAAAGGTGTAATACAACAATATTATTATTGTTTATTATGATATCACAAAAATTAAAGTTCGTAATTTTGTTATTAAGGAAAAATGTAGTGTTATAAACTCATGAACATTCATAACCATCCTCAAATTTAATTTTAATATTTGTATCCATCTGTAAGTGTTAAATAGTTTTTAAGTTTTATTTGAGCATAAATTGAGCATAATTTGAACAAAACAAATATTTTATACCGTTAATTCTTATAAAAAATAAAATAAAAACCACACTTTAGTTATAATTATTTTTAGAATGAAATTGTTATTGCTTTAAAGCTTAATACAATAACCCACTAGATACTCTCCTTGTAAAACAATGACATACCCAATGCTCGAAATACATACCACATGTGAAGTAATCATGTGAGATTTTTAATATATTTTTATGTTTTTTTTTTTATTGTTATTTACTTTTTACTTTTTTTTTTACATTTATGAGTATGAAACAATACAAAGCCAAGCAAGCCAAGTATAATTAATAGGTTTATGTTTAATAAAACATTTGAATAAATTCAGAATGTGATGAAAAAAAAAACAATTATATTTTATAAATTATAAATGTTGCAGTTCTGTGATAAAATGGTAAAACAGAATAGTAGCTAAAAGTATTTTTATAATATTTATAGAAGTTTAATGATAATATACAGCAAACGTAAACTTATTTCTTTTAGGTTACCTATACCTACCTTAACATAGATATCCGGATCGACCGAATTGAGTACCTGATTGATATTATATGTGCTTGGAAGTGATTGGGAGGTTGAGTGACGCTCAATGGTCAAGAAGGAAAAGGACCGGAAAAAGAAAATATTGGTTGTATCATAGTTGATTATACTATACAGTATTTACCTACGTTTGATTCATTGTTAAAATATAACGTCTTATTATGAGTTATAAAAATAACATTTTGCAAAATTGAAAATACTTCAAAAGTGATTATATTCACCTAAAATATCCAGATGTCATTAATATTTGCTTTATTCGTTCCTAATTTAACAATGATGAATATTTATATAAAAAAAAAAAATAAATATAATCTTGGATACTTCACCAGTTTTGTATACAATAGGTATACCTACAATAATATAGTTTTTTTTCAGATAAATAAATACGTGTTTTACAACAGAAAAAACGGTTATTGTAAACAGTATTGTTATATATTTTTTTCTAACTAATGGAAATGTATATTTACTTTATCAATTTAACAAACAAAAATATCCTTTGACAATTTTTTAGTGCATACATTAATTTACGATGTGACATTGTATAGTCGGTTTTAGACAAACTCGTTGTAAATGACCTAGGTATTTATATAAAAATTGTATGGAATTTAGATTGATCAACAAAAACGCTTTAACGTAATTTATGCTCTGATATTTGTATTTTTAAAATTATACAGAGAAGATCAAACAAAATATTATAATTAATTTTGTTTACGATATTCCCAGAAAAAAAAATATTTATCGGGGGATGAATGAAACGAGCAAAATGCTCTTCTCGTTTGCATTATTTTGTTAAATGTATACAGATTGTATTATTGCAGTTCCATTTATTGTTTTCAATTTTTAACTCTATAACAGTACCTACAAGTAAGTATTTATATTGATTTTTAGACCATTGCAAAATTATTTATTATTAATATTTATTTGTATTATTATATATTATTTTAATGTTTGATTTTAAATTAGAAATATTTAAAATAAATAGGTCAAAATGTTTATTTTAATTTTAATGTTAGACACACGTTTGTTTAATATTATAAAATCCAACAATAGTAATCTAGTTTAATTGTCTCGTTAAAGTTTTTAATATTATTAGCTTCAAAACATAATATACTAGTAAGTGAATCGATATCACCTTGAAATATATAAATGGTTCTGATAAAGAAAATAATTACATTTTAATAATAGGTACCTACATGTATAATTATAAATATTGTAAATAACTTTATTTACTTATTTATTTTATTGCAATTATATCAGTTCGAACTGCCATCATAATGTGCAAGTTGAGCCACACCAAAATCAAAACGAATAAAATTAACTTCACTATTCACGTAGGTAGGAATATATTATACTTAAAATTCAACTTCAAAAATTGTATTATATACGTACCATCATACATGCGTACTATATTAAGCAATGCCGACACGAGTTGAATACTAAATATCAAGAGAATCGAATAAAGCGAAGATTTAAAAAGACTAATATTTACACAGTATGGCTCGTTATCACACGGTTGGTTTTTTTTAAAACCGTTTATCTTTATTATGTTTACTGTTTAGCATAGGTACTCATGAATTACAGTGTTCGACTGACAACTGAAAATGGCATCGTACCAGAGGCCATTCAAATAGCATATACGCAACATCGATGATTAAACGAGTAAAATGTATAAGTAATATTTTTAAAATTTTAATGGTTTATTTTATTTTCAATCGATTAGGAAATAGGATTGATAGTAAGAATTGATAGTAGAAATTGAGGTAAGTACTCGTATTAGTTAAAACATTTTAAAACTGTACTACTACGGTAGTAACAAAATATGATATTCTGCAGTTGACCCAGTATAGATGAATTAATATAATTTCAGTCTATTTAAATCGTTATTATAAATACATTCCAACTAGTTATTACTCATGGTTTATATATAATATATTGTATGGTCATAGCTTCATTTTGAATTCAAATACAATTTTAATTTCCCTAACATTATATCTAAAATATACATTTTGTTTTTATTCATTGTGTTGTACAGCTACAATATGTTGTTCTTAACAAGTTACGTAAGTCTACATTAATTGCGTCAATTATAATAATATTTAAAAAAATAATATTGTATAATTATTTAAAATTTATCTACAATGAGATTATTTCTAGGTTTTACACTTGTTAAAAAGGTCTATCTAGAATGTGTCTGATGGGTAATTAAAATTAACATTAAATTTGAACGATTATAACACGTATAATTAATAATAGTCCGATTTTAATTTAACGATTCGTAACAAATGCGACAAACTGTTTACGGTTACATTATTGGAAACTGATTTTCAGTAATCATTATCAAAAAATTTGAAAGTCTTCAAAAATGGCTTAATTTAGAAAGATGTCCTGTCGACAACGAGTCATATTATTACGTTTATAAAACAATGAATACAAATTTACCACGGATTGGCTTATCGTAAACATAAATTGTTGTAATCGGTTGTTAATGCATTTACGTCATACAATAATATTTTACTCATATTATTATAATATACGATAAAACAGTTTTTTTTTTTAAATTTTAATTGGCGACAACGTTGATGCAACAACGCTTCGATACGGGCGAGAGATGTTATTTCGTCTTAATAGACAGTAGTTATGTTATCTGACGAAGATGTGAAAAAAAAAAAACGATAACGCATTATTATTAGATATTATGTTCCCTCTATTCGTGGTCGTTGCCCCGAACGAATAATAAAAACGATGACATTCGCTACGGTCGAAGGGGATGAAACAAATCGAGCACGCGTGCTAAATATAATAATATTATACTGTCCGTTATTACCATACGATTTGTCACGATTTGTCGTGGGCGTGTTATTGGCGTGTTTTATACGAAGGTATACAAACCATGCGACGGTATCATATTATTACTATGCTTTTGAAAAAATTCATAATATTTTTTTATTCGTCCGTGATAAGTTATCCGGTGCGTGGGCGGGTTTGGTCGTGGAGTATAACCACAGTGGACTCTGGACAGGTGTGGTGGGTGATGGGGCGTGGCGGGGCGACGGCGAAGGGTTGTTTACTGTAAAGGACGATCGGCTGTCGTGCTGTCGCTGCGGTTCGTTACCTCCATGGTCGAAAATCCCGATGCGGTCCGGAGATCGACGTGGTGTCTGAGGCAAGGGGTGGTGGTCAATGCAACCGGACGATGACGAGACGATGCAGTTCAGATGAAGACGTTTGTCGGCGCACGTTTACTGCACGACGATAGACGGCGGCGGTGCACGGGGACCCGAGTACGAAATATAACATCGTTCGCATGCACACGGCAAACCGGAACGATAAGAGACGAAAACGAAAAAACTGAGAAAACAAAACGGTCTGTTGTATGATATTACACTGACAGTGACGATATAATATTATAAGTCACGAGTAGGTGTCTCGTTGTTCTTTTAATAATATGTTTTACCACTCGACAGAGCTGCACCGCTTGGTCGGAGGAGTGTGTCACCAATCCGTCGGCAGATAAGACTGGAAGTTTCGTAAAGTACGTTCGGTCTAACCAGTGAATGACACCGTTTAATTGCTCGGCGAGAACTGATTAAGGAAATCGTACGAAACTCACTTGGCTGCGCTTGTAGGGATAATGACACAATAGCCGTCGAGCGTGATAAGGATGCCCCGTCAAACGCCAACTCGTTTCATAATAATATTATTGTCGTTTCTCTTTCTCCCTCTCGTTTATAATATTATGATGAGCATACATTCGAACAATACGATGATGATTATTGTTGTAATTGCCGTGACGTTTTTTCGAATTCCAATAAATAACATATATTATTGTAGTATTGTACTGTTTGTCTATTTCGATTTTTGAATTACAATATTGTAATAATATGATACATATAGGAACGTTTAGCCAACCGTATTCTGTTGTATCATCGCGACCAGTGTAAATTACCTTCGCGACTTGGTATAAATATCATATTATACAGATACGTGTGTTCGAATGTATCCTAAATGCCGTATGTATATGACGTACTAGTTCTTTACGACGTGTCTAATGTGTATAATATGCGTCTTTTGATCCTCTGCAGGATTCCGACGGATTCACGCATATGCAGCTAAAATATATTTAACATAATGGTACGCAAGTTTTTTGGCGATATCTCTACCTGTAGTATGAACCTATCACATTATTATTGTCATACACTACACGATATTATACTTCTGCCCCCCCCCTCCCTCAACTTCTTTCTGTTATTCATAATGGAAAATATAATAATATTTCTATGTGAATACTATTTAAATTTCAAATGCCCAATAATCTTATTGTAGTTGTCGTGGCTTCGATAAAACAAAAACAAAAAAACCAACAACACGATAACCGCCACAATGGCGATAGCCAATAATTATTTACAACCTTATAGTTGGTACTCATACAATTATTATATGTATTTTTAAGCTAAATCGAATGTATATGAGTGTGGCGTTACGTCTTAAAATAATATGTCACACTTGGGCGGATAACCCATAATAATATAGGTAATCGTATTTCACGTGTTTTGGCTATTATAATTTGAATAAAGCCCGTGTCCACGTCGTGTATCAGTATAATAAAATTTCGATGTTCTATGTTATTTGAAAACTAATTTATTTATAATGACTTATAATTATTACTATGTACATGAACATAGTGATTACAAGAGTTATCTAAAATAATTATGTATATATATTATACTTTTTAGTTTAGAAAAAATAGTTGTGAATGCTATAAACTATTGCAATTTACTATCGACATTGTTTTTTTTTTGTTATCAATTTATACTTGTTTATTTTATATGATAATACAAAATATATGACTCGTGTTTTATAAATATTACGTACAAGTTAAAAAAAAGTAATAGTAACTATAGTAATGAATAAATGAATTAAATTTGTATACATCAGATAATATTTAATAAACTTTTATAGTACATAATATTATATACCTATCTACTCGTATAATATATCAACGTCCCCATGCAGTCTGGAGGTGATTCAGTTATCCCGAATCAAAGTATTTAACTTAATGAATATAATATACTATGAGAACACCAAAAAAAGCTGATTAGAATACTTTGTTTGAATTAACAAAAAAATATACGCTCGCCGTTCAAATTATATACAATTGTTATTATAGTATTATTTTATAGTTATTTTTATTGAGTAAAGAAAATCATTAATTATTATGTTATATATTAGAATAATCTACATTTATAATCATAGAGCTTTGAAATGTAATTTTGATGTATGACCAGGATAGACAATATTGAATTGTGTTATTACTTATAACTTGTAAGTAACTAACACACAAAACATGTCAATTACTAAAATTGAAACAAATTGTAGAGCTGCAGGGGTGGCCTGCAGGTTGTGATAGTCATAGTTGCTACAGCAAACAGGGCTGGTTCGATATGTTGTCCTGTGGGAGTGTGGGACTGCTGAACATTTAACAATACTAATATATTACAATATTATTACTTATTAGTATATAATTGTATATAATGTGTATGATACTGGGCCACATGCCGTCCAGTCCGCCTATGTGAAGAGTATACGAATATAAAATACCTAACTTTTAGGCATTCGTTTACAACCACGCTATGATATATTTTTTTAATATTAGGCCATAATTAAAACATAATAGGTAATTACAGATATAAAATTTCAAACATGGACCTTATTGTAATGTCGTTGAAACTCATACCGTGTAGCTTAAAATGAAAAGTACTGCGTTTGTCAAATGAAAATTTGATGATATCGGATATCCTGTGTACTATGGTTAGAGATACAAATAAAAATATTAGGCAATAATACAAAATATGTATTGACATAACGTTTTTATTTTTTGAATTTTTAAAATAAGGTTCTATAAACCGAGTTCCTCATAAAATTCTTTTCCAAAATATGCAAGTGCGGTGATTTATCATTTTAGATTCTGAGTGAAACGATGAATGTATTGATTTTACAATGATGTGTGTTTTTTTTTTTATTTTAGATTCTGAGCGGAGCGATGAATGTATTGGTTTTACAATGATGTATGTTTTAGATTCTGAGCGGAGCGATGAATGTATTGGTTTTACAATGATGTATGTTTTTTTTTATTTATATTTTTATTTATATTTTTATATTTTTATATTTTTGTGTCTGTCATCACGTTTTGGGACAGTAAAAGTGCTTCGATTTTCTTCAATAGTACCTTTTCTGATAGGAAAGTGAATCTAGTTGGTACTTTGGGGGGTCAAAAGTAAACATTTTCCAGTAGTTTTCACAAGCGCCGGGAAAAACAACATAAAAATTAAGGAAAAACGGGAATTTTTACGCAAAATCGATTTTCCAAAAAATCGAATTTGGTTTTTGGTGTAACTTTAAAACAAATGACCGTAGATACATGAAATTTTCACTGGTTGTTTATATTTGCATTTTCTATACACGATAACATTTTCAAAATATTTTGATTTATTTTGAACTGTTTAGGGACATTTTCATTTTTCATTTTTTTTTAGTTTTTTTTCTAGAAATATCAATAAAATTTTATTTGTTGGTTGCGAAAGCTTGAAAATTTAATAGAAGGCTCCTAATATGTTGTTTCAAAGGCAGATGAAAAATATTAAAAATCCTTAGTCACAATTTTTTTTTATAAGCATTTAAAGTTCAAAAATTTACAAAATATGGAAAAATCACGAAAATTAGCAAATTATTTTGAGTTAAGAATTCGTAAAAATTTTTCTTTTTAAATCTAAGATTTGAAAATGAAACACAAGATTCCTTATAAGATTATCTACCTTTATCAATAAAAAAATCTCTACCGGACAGTCAAGTTAAATTTTTATGAGCGTTTGAAATTAAAATTTTTACAACATTGGATATTCACTCGATTTCTCATGTAGCGATTTCCTAATTTTGTTGTAATTCAAAAACGAACAACTGTAGATACATGAAAATTTCACTGAATGTTTAAATTAGCATTTTCTATACATCATACAATTTTGAAAATATTTTGACTCTTTTTGAGCTGTTTAGGGACATTTTCAGTTTTCAATTTTTTTAGTTTTTTTTTTTATAATTGTCAATAAAATTTTATTTGGTGGGCCAAAAAGTCTGAAAATTGAATACAAGCTTTCTTATATATTGTTACAATATCAGTTGAAAAATTTTAAAAATACATAGGCACGATTTTTTTTTATAAGCATTTAAAGTTGGAATTTTGACAAAATTCATCAAAATCTCGAAAATAATCAATCGTTGGAATTAAAAAATTATAAAATGTTCAGTTTTTATAACTAAGAGTTGAAAATTTAAAACAAAGATTCTCTTAAATAATTCATACTGTAACCAAAAAATCTAAAAAATATATAAACACACTTATTTTTTACAGACATTTTAATTTCAAATTTGGACGAAATTACATATTAAAAAACCTAGAATAACTATTTTAGTTATTTTGTTGTGATTGAATAATATTATTCGTGGGTACTTGAAACTTTTAAAGTGTACTATTATATATCTATGATAGTATCACGGTTTTTGTTGATGTATAACGCGTTATAAGTACTTAATGGATATTTTGATATGATTAATTTTGGAATTTATTATAGGTACCTACCTATTATAGGTCAAATTTTGGTTTAGTACCATAGATATGTATAATGTATATAATATGTCTTATACCTAGACTGACATACTGTCTCCGCTCAGAATCGTTTTTCTTATACAATGATATTATATCGTTGAATTCAAATTTAATATCATCCATTATACAGTGACCCACTTGTAACCTACTGTACAGCAGAGCGACACCCACTTGCCCACCTTTTTTTATTTATTTTTTTTTTTATTTTTTATTTTTTTTTGTGTCTGTGTACACGATAAGTAGTCGAAATAATGCTTCGATTTTCGACTTCAGTATCTTGTTCGATTGGAAAGTGAATATCGTTGGTGCATTGGGGAGGTCAAAATTTAAAATTCCCAGTACTTTTCAAAAGCGCCAAGAAAAACAAAAGAAAAATTAAGGAAAAACGGGAATTTTTACGCAAAATCGATTTTTCAGAAAATTGAATTTGGTTTTTGGTGTAACTTTAAAACAAATCACCGTAAATACATGAAATTTTCACCGGTTGTTTATATTTGCATTT